ATGTATGCATGCGTACTTGAAAGAAGCGAACAGACGACGCTTAGTTAATGGATAGATATATGAGAAGCTGGGTGGAGTGAAGGAAGAACAAGATCACATCATAACCCTAGGGCCTACCGGAATATACCACACTCAATTCACGGTATCACACTCCCCTCCCACGGTTGACCGGTAGAATCACAGGAAATCACACATCCAGCCAAGGCAGATTCGGAGCACCTATTGTCCGCACCGTGCTCACGAGCACGATACCCGATCACGCACTGTAGGTGGGTATATAGGGTACGGCGTGTGATAGGGGAATGCACCTACAGATAAGCAATTCAAATACTAGCCCCACCAACCAGCGCAATTAATATTAGCTAATTATGCAGTACAGAACACGCCCTGGATCCTTTCCATACAGTGCTGTGCAAGTGTTTATATATAAAAAAAAATCAGGGTTTTCTGCTACAAGTTGACGCACCGTATCTAATTAACCTATCATCACACATTGGTGCGGCGTCTTTTGTGCTGTAAAGTGCGTACCGGTAAAGGTGTAAGTTAGTTGAGACGCCAGCTGTTTCTGTATCAGTATCAGTATCAGTATATGTATCCGGAGTTGGATTGGGAGTTGGCCAGATGGAGAGATTTGTGCTGGGTTTTTCGTGAATCCAGACGCCGGTCAGCGGAGCGCCGCGAGGAGATACTGCTTATTTAGTGCAGGAGTGCTGTACCGCATCATGCTCCCGCAGGTCCGACCCTGCCAACAGCAGGATGCAGGTCCCATAGGGAATCTTTACCCGTAAGCGATCGAAGGATTTTCCAGAGAGGGTAGAGAGGATCACTGCACGTGGGAGGCTTCCAAGGCTCTGGGATATTCTCCGGTATTATATTCGGGGGTATGACGACCATTATGATAACTGAAAAAATTTTAAAAGAATTTCTCGGCGGGTGATACTCCATGACTCCCGCCGCAACGAGTATACAACAGAAATTCCCCCGATTTTAGCTAGATATATATATATACCTCTTCGCCAAGATGCTTACGAAGGTACAGCACCTAAGTTTTGAATATTCTACTAGCAGGGGGTGCTCCACTCGCAGGGTTCCTGGCAGTGAACTAAGTAAACTAAGTACTAGTATCATGGTTATTTGAACACTAGGGGGGCCAAGTAAAAAAAATTTCACAACTGTAATAACTTTCTGATTTTGTATTTAGAGTCAAAGTCTAGCGATCTCATCACCTCAGAATCCCTAATGCCACAGTTAACTCAAGACCAAAGACGTGACTGTCAGCTCCTGCACTCAATAGGATGGAAGTATAAGGAAATTCAGGAAAAAACTGGATTTTCACAACACCAGATCCAGTATGCCTGCATGTCACCCCCAACACCTACTAAACGAACTGGTCGTCCTCCCATCCTGACCTAAGCACAAATTAAAGAGCTTATTGACCATGTGTGCATGTGAGCTAGGAATAGGCATCTCTCTTTTCAACAGCTTGCTCATGAGCTAGATTGGAGAGTGGGAAGAAAGGCAATAAGAGCTGCTTTAGTAAAGGAAGGGTTTTACCAGGGTCTAGCCATGAGGAAACCACCAATCTCTGAGCGAAACCAAGTAATTAGACTCCAATAGGCTTGGAAGCATGTTCACTGAACTCGGAAACAATGGAACTCAATATTGTGGACCAATGAAACCTGGATTACTGGTGGAAGACATACACATACATGGGTAACATGAAGGGCTGGAGAGGAGTGGGATCCTACTTGTATAGTAGAAAAGCATCAGAGGAAGAAGGAATGGATGTTCTGGGGCTGTTTTCAAAGTAATATACAAGGTCCAGGTATATTCTGGAAAAAGGACTGGGGACCAATAAATTCCCAAAGCTACTGTGTGCATACGGTGCCCATAATTCACAGATATATGGAATTATGTTATTAAGATGGAATTTATTTAACGCTCATACAGGATGGGGCGCTAGGACATGCAGCTGGGGATACTAGGACTGAGCTTAGAGAGAGAGGAATAAAGATTATTCAGTGGCCTGCCTTTTCACTGGACTTGAATCTAATTGAAAAGGTATGGCATATCATGAAGAACTATCTTCAGGATAATTATCTTGAAAATATGACTTATGATAGGTTAAGAGCAGGGGTAAAGACAGCTTGAGAAAACATTGGAGAGCATGAGTTCTGGGAGCTTATTGAAAGCATGCAAGCAAGGTGTCAGGCTATCATTGATGCAAATAGCCTGTTCACAAAGTATTAAATATGGTAGACCCCCACAGTTCCGATGTCTATACTTACTGACTGACCCCTACTGACCTCTGTAATTCCCTAGCAGACCCGCGAGCAGACCCTCAAGCAGACCCCCCAAGCAGACCCCCCAAGCAGACCTCCTCCAGTAGACCCCCAAGCAGACCCCCCCGGCAGACCCCCGAGCAGACCCCCTGAGTACAAGTTCCCAGCAAGAAGAACCTGAACACAGGGGCCAGTAAACCAGGGGTGAGG